TCCACATTGGCGGGTTCCTCTTGGGCGGATTCGATTATTTGTGGGTTGGATTATAAATTATCTCTATAAATCTCTAGTTTTTCCAGCACGAACCTATGGTCAACCTCCACCATAGAGTCGTATGGGAGAACCTAGCGATTTTTAGAAAGAAAATTATTTTCTAGGCATTTGGAAGTCCTCCGGTGTGATTTGTTGTTGCTGTGACGGCGCGAGTGGCGCCACCTATGTATAGAACTGTTAGTTGTAAGATTTAAACTGTTGTATCATGTTTAATCCTGCCCCTTTTTATCATGTTTGTGTACAGTTGTATGGATTGGTTGCTTGTAGCTGTCAATCAGTACTGTTTGGCTCCACCTCTTCCTGCAAGAGGGGAGAACTTCCTTTTCTTTTCATTCTGCCTTCAGAGATCATACCACATGGACGTGAGTAAAAGACTTCATTCTTAAGGACCCTGATTTAAGTTACCTCTTAGCACCAGTTCTGAGGATTTTACCCCTGTGACTCATGCTTTATGTCCAGATCGTCCTGGACAATTATTGAGGAGACCCAGGCGCCTTCAAGCCGGTTCTTTTGGCACCAGAGGAAGATTCTGAATCTTCAAGATATAGGCCATCTGAACTGGGGTTGTGGTTTGCTCCGGCATTCACAGCCATTGAGGAAAGAGGAAACTTGGTGAGGCTTCTCAGCTTCAAACCCCTTGGACCCAGGACTAATTGAGACTGTAACGTATGTTTTCCTTCACTCCTCTAAAGTTTTCCAGCTTATTGCTTTGAAGAAATGACTTTGTGATTAATAAAACTTATTTTGAGAAATTTACATCGTTTTGGGTTTTTGGGAGTTCCAGTTTCCTAAAGGAGGGCAAGAAGCAATCCCTTGGGGGAAAGGTGCCACGTCCATCCCTCTTTCATTAAGACTAATAGCCCCCAAGCGCGACGGCACAGTTGCCATCTAGCACAGTGTTTCTCAACCTTCCAAATGCCGTGACCCCTTAATACAGTTTCTCATGTTGTGGTAATCCCCAACCAAAAATTTATTTTTGTTGCTACTTCATAACTGTAATTTTGCTACTGTTATAAATCATCATGTAAATATCTGATATGCAGGATGTATTTCATTCACAAATTTGGCACAAATACCCGATACTCCAAAATTTGAATACTGGTGGGATTGCAGGGGGATTGATTTTGTCAATTGGGAGTTGTAGTTGCTGGGATTTATAGTTTACCTACAATCAAAGAGCATTCTGAACACCACCGATGATAGAATTGGCCAAACTTCCCACACAGAACCCCATGCCTTGAAGAGACTTGCTGGCACGAGCCTTCTCCAGCCTCGCACGCTCTTCCTCAGCCGCACATGCGCACCACACTGCCATGTGCTGAGCATGCCTACTCTTTCTTCCCCCGCTTGGAGTTTCTGAAACAGCCCTCCCCTTGGGTGAGAGGCCGGCCAGTCACAATGGAGGAGGGCTTTTGGTGGGAGGATTCACCATCTGTTTCCAAAAGGAAGAGAAGGACAGGCGGAGAGATCTTCAGCCTTCTCTGCCAAAGGGGTTCCTAAGACCATCTGAAATATATGTTTTCTGGTGGTCTTTTATGACCCCTCTGAAACTCCCTTGTGCCCCCCCCCCCCCCCCGGGTTGATCCCCAGGATGAGAAACACTGATCTAGCAGAACCTAGAGTTCTAGGCGTAAAGAGTTTTAGGCCACATCTACATTGCCATAATAGTGTTTTATATGAGTGTTATATCAATGAGTGCTATATTAGTGTTTTATATGAGTCTACACTATCATGCAGTTCAATCTGCATTAGAATGGCAGCGTAGATGGGGCCTTAGAGAGGTGTCTACTCAGGTTAAAAGAAAGTTCGTATATTCTCGTTTCACTCTCATGGTGAAATGTCATGTGTAACTGCTTCTCTCAAAGCTTCAAGATTCTACCCAGCCTCCTGGCTAATTTGTTTTCTGGCAATTTCCAGAAAACAAATTATACAAGGAACAGGGAAAGGGTGGAGACCAGAAACTCTGGCTGATGCCCACAGTGATTCAGCGTGTCCTGTATTTAAACTTTGGTGAACTCGTTCAAAATGTGCAGCTCCGCTAAATGAACTGATTTGTTTCCTCCCATCAGGGAATGTGGTGGTAATTTCCCAATTAAATACTTCCTGTTAATTTCCTCCTCTGCAGCCAGTCGGGTCACAAATGACCCCTGGCTTACTCTTTTGATTAGGTGCGTCTACACTGTAGGATGAATGCAGTTTGATCCCACTTGAACTGCCACAGCTCAGTGTCATGAACTCCTGGGAATTGTCGGATTATAAAGTCCAAATGTTGTCAACCTTCCTGCATTCTACAGTGCTGGCATTACTTGCTAGAATTGGCCTGTTCCTGGGTTTATTTGGGGCATTGATTCATAAAGTTATATTGGATAGACTGTATCAGCTCTAGTTTCTTAGATAGGCTTATTGTGGTTTTTGTGTAGGCAAGCAGATGGTAACTGTTAGATGGTACAAGTTCTGTATCTCAAAAGCTAGAGCTGATGGGGGAGAACTGGTGCCATTTTTGGAATTAGCAGGCCAAATATGCCCAGGCACAGGACTGACATTTGAGGCACCAAAATGTGTGTTTGCCAGTATCATTTGTCAATGACCCAGTTCACAGGTCATGGCAAGCCAATAGAGTGGTAAGGTTCACATAGAGCTCTCATTGAGGATATGGCTGATGTTCTCTTCCTACATATTCGGGAAACAATACTCATCATTCTAGGTAGTTTGGAGATGCCAACTTTTCAAAGTTGGAAGTCACTATAGTCATACCTTCACATTTATGGTTTTGACTTTTGTGGGTTTGATTATCCATGGATTTGATTAAAAATTGTCCCTCTAGGCCTCTCTGGGTCCTCCAGTATAACCCCATGGTCAACTTTTCTAGTGATGCTGGGGGACCTAGGCCCCTTCCACACGGCTGAATAAAAACCCACATTATCTGCTTTGAACTGGAATAGATGGCAGTGTGGACTCAGATAACCCAGTTCAAAGCAGATAATGTGGGATTTTCTGTCTTGATATTCTGGGATATAGGGCTGTGTGGAAGGACCCTTAGAAATTTCTACTAGAGAGAACACCTCTTTGGGAATCTCTAGATCTTCCAATGTGATTCTATGGGCTACTTCAAGCAGAAGTTGACCATACAGTCATGCTGGAAGACCTAGAAATTCCCGGTTAAAAAAATAGTAATTTCTTTATTTGCCTTTTTTTTTTCATTTTCATGGGGATCTTGTGCCTTTAACCCCAGTGAATGTGGAAAACTGACTGTAGTCTCTGCCATCTGTCTGTCTGTACCAATGTCAAAGTATATATATTTACTAGCCGTCCCCTGCCACAAGTTGCTGTGGCCCAGTCTGGTGATCTGGAAAATAAAGTAATGAGAAAGTGTTGGTTTCTAATCTATGTAATGTGGAGAGTGTCTGGTTTGCACACCCTGGAACATGTAACTGTGAATATCATTGTCCTTCTTTAAGAGTCCCTTTCAAATCTATGATACTATATCTGTGTGTGTATGAAGTATATCTATCTATCTATATCTATGGCTGGATGGCTCTTTGTCAGGAGGGCTTTGATTACGTTTTCTTGCCCTGATGAAGGGAGTTGGATTGGATGGCCTGAAGTATTTTCTGTTGGTCATGGGGGTTCTGTGTGGGAAGTTTGCCCCAATTCTGTCGTTTGTGGGGTTCAGAACGCTCTTTGATTGTAGTTGAACTGTGAATCCCAGTGACTACAAATCCCAAGTGTCAAGGTGTATTTCCCCCAAACTCCATCTGTGTTCATATTTGGGCATATTGAGTGCTTCTGCCAAGTTTGGTCCAGATCCATCATTGTTTGAGTCCACAGTGCTCTCTGGATGTAGGTGAACTACAACTCCCAAACTCAAGGACACTGCCCACCAAACCCTTCCAGTATTTTCTGTTGGTCATGGGAGAACTGTGTGCCAAATTTGGTTCAATTCCATCTTTGATGGAGTTCAGAATGCTCTTTGATTGTAGGTGAACTATAAATCCCAGCAACTACAACTCAAAAATGACAAAATCCTAATTCTTTGAGTGATGGTCACTCCTTGTGTTGTGAGACATTTTGCTGCCAAATTTGGTGTGATTTCGTTCATTGGTTCTTTTGTTTTTAAGGTACTTATTATGCACAGAGCATTTATATATATATAGATAGATGTATGTAAATATGTAATACAAAGGCTGTTGCTAGGTGAAGTGAACCCTGTGATGCCACTGGATTGGCTGTTGTTAGATGAAGTGGCCCTCTATGATGTCACTGGCTAAGAAAGATGACATATGTATGAGGGGAAAGGAGGGAGGGAGAAAAGAAGGGAAAGGAGAAGGGAAGGGGAAAGAAAGAGGGAAGAAGAGAAGTAAGGAAGGATGGAAGAAGAGACAGAAAAATAAGGGGAGAGGAAAGAAGGGAAAGGAAAGAAAGAGGGGGGAAGATGTCTGAGGGCAAGCAATGGAAGAAGGAAAGAAAAGAGAGAAGGAGAAAGTATGAGGCAAATGAAAGAGGAAAGAAAGAGCCACAACGAGAGCCTGCACAAACAGAATTGCCAGTGATGCCAATGTTGCCATTGTGTGAGGTATGCCTTCGCAGAGCTGGAGAAGCGAGAAAGCAGGGGGGCAGTGGTCCCAATGACAGTCGGGCAATTCCAGGTACATATAGTAGTCACTAATAAACCTTGGAAAAGTTTTATATGGATTTCAACTCCCAGGATTTCCAAGTATCATGATCATTGGGTGGCTATTTTGAAAGTTGGAGACCAAAAGTAACTTTCCCAATCTCTCCCACACACACATTTTTTAAACTTTAGGGTGGGTTATTAAAATATGCTTGCTCATTGCGCCTTGGTTTGAGCAGTTGACCAGATGACGTTTCTCTTTTTCTTGAAAGCTATAATTTGTTGGGTCCTCAAAATAACCTGCTTTCTCTCTTGTGTCTCTATGCAGGTGTCCCTGGTTGACAAGAGCCGTCTCCCCAGCTATTCCCCTGTACAATGGGATTGTGTTCCTGTTTGTGCTTGCAAACTTCAGCATGGCAACATTCATGGACCCTGGAGTTTTTCCACGAGGTAAGTTTGGATGGGGACAGGAGGCTGGTAGAAGGGAGGAATGAAATGCATGCATGTATACAGAACACATTATGGAATGCTTTCCCCACAGATGTTTGATTCATGAACAATTCAGCATTATTCTATGTTGCTAATAATGAGATATCAAGGTGGTGTATAAGTGTTTTGATTTTAGGCTTATAGGAAGGTGCCTTCTATCATGAGAATGCATTTTGGAGGTCTCCATTGGCAGAAATAGACCCTCCATCGACACTGACCATATTATGCAGTTTGAAACCAGTTTTGAAGAAAGAGGTAATCACATAGGAAATCTTGGAAACAGTTTGAGGCCCAAATGGTGATTACACAAACCACAGAGCACTAATGTACATTGAAAGCTTTCTTTCACACTCTTTCCTGGGTGTTTGTTGTCTAGGGCCCTATCTACACTGCCATATAAAATCCAGATTATTTGCCTTGAACTGGATTATATGGCAGTGTAGACTCATAATCCAGGTCAAAGCAGATAATCTGGGATCAGATATTGGATTATATGGCAGTGTAGATCCAGCCTAGATATCACAGTTTAAAGCTAGCTTTGAACTTAATTAAATGGTCTTTGTAGATGGGGTCATAGTCTTTATTTATGTAACTTTCATCTAACTCTCCTCTACTTTCTTGTTCATGGGAGGATCCAAGTTGTCTAACAGACCATCCACACTGCAAAATTTTAATAGTTTGATACTACTTTAACTGCCATGGCTCCATGCTATAGAATCCTGGGATTTGTAGTTATGTTGTGGGACGAGAGCTCTCTGAGAGAGGTCAGTAAACATGGAACACTAAACTACAAATCCCAGAATTCCATAGCAAGTAGCCATGGCAGTTAATGTGGTGTCAAACCTTGTATCATCTGCACTACTTGGAATTGCATATTGTTTTAGTTTTGTTTTATTCAAATAACCTTGTGCCTCTTTTACTTACTTTCTTTGCTTGTCTCTTCCTCCTCCTCCTCCTTGCTCCTCCTCCTCCTCATCTGTTTTGTGGTGGACCCATGAGCAGCAGATGAAGACGAGGATAAAGATGATGATTTCCGAGCTCCACTCTACAAGAATGTGGAAATTAAAGGAATCCAAGTACGGATGAAATGGTGCGCCACCTGCCATTTCTACCGGCCTCCGCGCTGCTCCCACTGCAGTGTCTGCGACAACTGCGTCGAGGTAGGAAAAAACATCTCCCATCATTCTGTCACCGGGTTTTCATGCCTTACTGGTAGACCCACATTCAAATGAATCTGATCATACAACTTATGCCTATATAACAGAGCTTTCACAGAGGTGTGTTGTGACAATGTTAGTATGTTGGCCACAGTATGTAAGTGTGTCACACACACATCACAAGACTATGTGAAATAAGCAATAAATTCTGTATTTTGAGAAATATAAGGGAAAGGTTTTCGTGAGATGTGTTATATCCCCATACCCGTCATTATTACTATTTATGTATGTGTCCATATCTCTTCAAAGAGGGTTGGCTTAACCTCTGGTTTGCTAGTAAAACTGAATTACTATGTTGCAAAATGATGCATGTCTAAAAAGTATGTCACCAACATGAAATAGTTGGAAAGCTCTGCTATATAGACTCTATGCCGAGTTTAGGATGACTCGGAGTTTAGAGGAAAAGAAACTTTGCCAGGTTGTAGGAGGAAGAGACAGAGAGCCAGAGCATGGACAGCTATTATCAGTTATTCTTCACTCCGCTGTTAGGTATTGACCGAATGTGTGAAAAGGAGTACAGTCTCTGTACAGTGCATGCACACTACACAATTTATTCTTCTCTCCATAAAGAATCTGGCCGTGCTAGTATAGCAATTTTGACACATGGTAGTTTAGAGGTCTTGTTTTATAGAACCCTGACATTGTTGCTGGCAAATTGGACGCCTTAATGATGCCCACAGGGTGCTGAAACTATTAGCTCAAAGAAGCAAAGGCATATTGTACGTGAATGCAGAGGACTGCAGCTCCTCTATTTTATGACCAGGTAAAATGTTTATCCAACCTTTCATATCCAACTACTTTTCTTTTCTTTTTTTATAAGACGACATATTTATATGTAAGTAAAATGAAAACAAAACTAAAAGTAATACGCATTGGAAATTCACTGAATCAAAATATGAAACACCAACTCACTAAAGCAGAGCTCTCCTAACTGTGTGTTGTGACTACTTTGTGTGTCGGTTGCAGTGTGTAGGTGTGTTGTGCGAACATAACAAGATACCTCTTGGTCTATGTGAAATAAGCAATAAATCATATACGAGTATTTTAAAAAATATAAATGAAAGGTTTTCATGAGATATGTTGTCACTATATATTTTGTTATTACAATTTATGTATGTCTCGTATAAGGGGTTGATTTAACCACCAGTTTGCTAGTAAAGCTGAATCCCTGTGTCACAAAATGATGCATGTATAAAAAGTGTGTCACCAACATGAATTTTTTTGAAAGCTTTGCACTAAAGCAGTGGTTCTCAACCTGTGGTTCATAGACCACCAGTGCTCCGCAAGAACTAAAATATGGTCTGCAGCCTCATTGTTACTACACCATTGCAACACCTCACAGACCATGCCCCCTTCCTCGTGTTCATGCGCCCATGGCAAGGAGGCAAGAGAAAGCCATTCGAGACAGTTTCTTGGACCTTGCGCTCCACTTTTTGTATTTTTTTCAACCTCAGCCCCCCTCTCTTCTTTCTTTTTTTTACACAAGTGTTAATAATATCCACAAATAATAACACAACCCAAGCAACAACAAAAAATTTCTTGGCGTCTTTGTTTTCAGGCCTGTTCCAGGGGATATTTGGGATGCTGATTCAGAAAATTGCACTGGATAGACCACATCAGCTCTAGATTATTAAATATGGTTTTCTGTGGGCAGATTCAAGGACCATTTAGGCCAGTGGTTCCCAGCCTCTGGTCCGTGGACCACCAGTGGTCCACGAGAACTAAGATATGGTCCATGGCCTCACCATTACTACACCATTGCAACAAGAGCAACTGTCTTGCAAAACCCTCTTATAGTGCCGAGGCTTATTAAATATGTTTTCCTGTGAGCAAGCAGATGGCGACTACTGGATGGCAGATGTTCTGTATCAGAAACTAGTGCTGATGTTTTCTATCAAATGCAATTTTCTGAATCAGCACCCCAAATAACCAAACTGAATCTAAAGTTGACCAAAAACTGATTTGTAACCCTTTTGGTACTAATGTTGGAGAGTGGTCCCTGGTCAAAAAAAGGTTGGGAACCACTGCACTAAAGCATTTAACTAAGGGTCCATCTGTTTTATGAGACTATACATTAGGAGGTATCCAAATGGATAGGAAGGACAACTGGCCCAGGGATAGGGAGATTTTGACTCTTGTTGTTTGAGACTTCAGTTCTCATTGGCTGGTTGTTGCCCAACCTCATGGTTGTGGTTCAAAAAAGGGAGTCCACCAACATGTTAAGCGCCAAAAGCTCTCTATCCCTAGACCGGATGGCCTCCATAGGTCTATCCAAATGGATATCTCCAAATATCTATATCTATAAATTTGTAAGGGGCGTTAAACGGGACAGCAAAACTCAAAAACCCCCCAATGGAAATTAACCAAAATTTCCATGCACATACCTCAACCCACAAGGTAAAAACAAACCGAATCAAAATGAAAAACAACACAACAACACACTCACAAAAGGACAAAACAACAGAGCATGTGCAATGGCGCAAAGTCCCCGGCGCGCGCGTGCACATGGCCAAATGGCCAACACACCCTCCGCACCTCCCTCCCTCGCCCCACCCAGCACGATCATGCCACAACACGTCACCTCACTCCCCCGCCCCACACACGCAACACCACGCCCCAATCTTACCTCTTCTTTCTTCTTCCCCAATCTTACCTCCTCCCCCTCCTTCTTCTTCCCCTCCAAACCCCGCCCCCTCCAAGCCCCGCCCCTTCCCGCCCTCTCCAAATCCATCCCTCCTCCCCCTCCTTCTTCTTCCCCTCCAAGCCCCGCCCCCTCCAAGCCCTGCCCCTTCCTGCCCTCTCCAAATCCATCCCTCCTCCCCCTCCTTCTTCTTCCCCTCCAAACCCCGCCCCCTCCAAGCCCCGCCCCTTCCCGCCCTCTCCAAATCCATCCCTCCTCCCCTCCTTCTTCTTCCCCTCCAAACCCGCCCCCTCCAAGCCCCGCCCCTTCCCGCCCTCTCCAAATCCATCCCTCCTCCCCCTCCTTCTTCTTCCCCTCCAAGCCCCGCCCCCTCCACCCCCCCCCCCCTTCCCGTAGAGAAAGGGAGGGAAGGAAAGAAGGAAAGAGAGAAGGAAGGAAAAAAGAGACAGCAGAAGAGAAAGAAAAAGGGGGGGGGGAGGAAGGAAAGAGAAAGCTAGGAAAGACAGGAAGGAAGGAAAGAAGGAAGAAAGAGAAAGGGAGGTAAAGAAAAAAGGGGGAAGGAAGGAAAGTTAGAGAAAGAAGGAAGAAGAAAAGGAAAGAAAAGGAAAGATGGAAGGAAAAAGAGAGACAGCAGAAGAGAAAGAAAAAGGGGGAAGGAAGGAAAGAGGTAGAGAAGGAAGAAATGAGAGAAAGAGGGAGGGAAAGAAAAGGGGGAAAGAAGGAAGGAGAGAAGGAAGGAAGAGAGAAGGAAAGAAAAAAGGGAATGAAGGAAGGAAAGAGGGAGTGAAGGAAGGGGGAAGATGTAGAGAAAGAGGGAGGGAAGGAAAGGAAAGAGAGAAGGAAGAAAAGAGAGACAGCAGAAGAGAAAGAAAAGGGGGAAGGAAGGAAAGAGATAGAGAAGGAAGGAAGAAGAGAAGGAAAGACGGAAGGAAGAAGGAGGGAAAGAAGGAGAGAAAGAGGGAAGGTTGGCCACAGCAAATAAAAAGTGAAAGAAGGAAGGAAACATGGAGGGAAAAAAGGAGGCAAAGGAAGAAAGGGGGAGGGAATGAAGGAAAGAGAGAAGGATGAAACCAAGGAGCGAAAGAAGGAAAGAAAGAAAGAAAGAAAGAAAGAAAGAAAGAAAGAAAGAAAGAAAGAAAGAAAGAAAGAGGAAGAGAAGGAAGAAAGGAGAGAAAGGGGGAGAAAAAGGGGGAAGGAATAGGTAGGTACCTCTCTTTCATAATACTCCAGATATCTACCTCTACTTTGAAAAGATTTACTATAGGCCACAGCAACGCGTGGCAGGGTACAGCTAGTATAGTTATATTAAAATTGCTAAGATTTTTTTTTTAAAAAAAGATGGGAACCTGATGGCTTTCCACACCAGAAGTCCACCAACATGTGGAGAACCACCAGGTCCCCATTCCAGCTGCATTGCAACACAGTTCAAGGCAATAATGTGCCCACCCATACCAAAACATGGCCCTTCCAAATATGATATCTGGAATTCCAAACTCTTCCAAATATCCAAAGTTCTTCAAATGAGGTGACTGAAATATTGACCCCTTTAATTCCCGATCGTTTAATGTATACACAAACTTTGACTCATGCACACAATTATTTTAAAAGATTGTGTATAAAATTATTTCAGGCTACATGTGTGAGGTATATATGAACTATCAATGAACTTTGTGTTTAGACTTGGCCCCATTTCCAAGACATCTTAGTATATCCAAGTATTCCAAACTCTGAAAGAAAAATCCAAAATGTGGTACATTTCTGGTCCCAAGCATTTCAGATAAGGGATACACGACCTGTAGGCAGATCCATACAATGAACTTTTGCCAATACGGGCTTTTTCTTGGCCAATTATAAAACTATAAGCAGAGAAATCCAAAGTACTTTCTCCCCCCAGCCATTTGAATACAACAGATCCCCAAGCATATTGCTATCAATCCCTATTATGATTGGCTCTAATAGACAGCATTGCTACATTATTAAGCTTTGAATGCTTACTGAAGAGAATCAGAAGGGCCATTAACATCTCTTGAATCAATAAATTGTGTCCTGAAAGCAAGCAACCTATTGATTTCTCCTCTCCCTCCTTCTTGTGTGTGGGTGAAAGTCCTTTGTATATATGCATCCCTCAGCTGCCAGGAGATTTGGTCACAGTGAAGCATTTATTGGCGTTTCACCTCAGAGACTGTATGCATTCATTAAGAGGAGAACTGTAATTCAGTCATTTCATTGACGTGTAGCTTTGACATTTCACCATTACTTAGAGATGCATGGAGTAATAATGATAAATAATAAAGTTTATTTGTATCCCTCCCCATCTCACAAAAGGGACTCGGGGCGGCTTGCAACAGAAATACAATATATATAGTAATAATAGCAACCAAAACAACACAGATCAACGAAGTGTAATACAAAAACAAAAGCAGCCATGCAAATATTAAATTAATGCTTTAGGTGGCAGAATGTGCAGGGCCAACCATGTGTCTGGCTTTATGGAAGACTCTTCCTTACCTGAGGGGGTCATCAGCTTGAAGGGCTGCTTTTTTTAGACAAGCCACCACACTGACAATCTTCAGGAGGAATTTGAAAACCTGGTTATTCCAATGTGCCTTCAGTGATTGAATGAAAGATTCTCCCTGACCACACTTTGCACAAAATGTCCTTAGACGTACTTTACTTTATGGGTTGTGCAATGAAATCTTTCCTCATTCCTGGAGCCTCCTCCTTATAAGTTACTCTGCCCTACCTCCCAGTGTTTTTAACATTTTCTGTAATTTTATCCATGCATCTGGCCCTGCCTAGTGAAATTTCCTGTGTTTTTAATGCTTGATTTTATATTGTTATGTTGTATATTATTTCGATTTTGCATTTTATGTATTTTGCTTGTTTTATTGTGTTTGTGTTTTAGCTTGTATTGTATTGATGGGCATGGCCTCATGTAAGCCGCACCGAGTCCCCCTGGGGGAGATGGAGCAGGGTATAAATAAAGCATTATTATTATTATTATTATTATTATTATTATTATTATTATTATTATTATTATTATTATTATTATTATTTGGGTGCATCTACACTGTAGAATTAATACAGTTTGATACCCCTTGAACTGCCATGGCTCCATGCTGTGGAATTCTAGGCTAAAGTTCTTCCTCTTCCTTTTCTCCCTCTCCCTCTCCTCTTAACAAAACTCAAATCTGCCTATCTTTCGAAACTGCAAATTCTAGGGTTCCATAGAATGGAGCCATGGGAGTGCAAGAGATGTCAAACTGCATTAATTCTACAGTATGGATACACCCTCAGTTAGGTTTAAAGGTAAAGAACCAGAAGACAATAGAGCCGGAGCCTGGAATTACCTATCCAAAGTTAGTAATACTGAACAATCCCGGAGATCACCTGGTTACAGCCCCCACCCACCCCCGACTATCAAGATGTATTGTATTCCTATTTAAATCACAACAACTGTCTCTAAACTTTTGATGCAGCAATTAAAGTGTTGGAATGGAGTCCTCAGTGCGTTATCATCCTGGAGCTGAAAGAGTAGGCAAAGACAATGCATCCCATCTGAAATCCTGTAGCTACTTCCTGCAGAATTCTGGGGCTTGTTGTTTAGGGGAGGAGCCTTTAAAATACCCAGTCAGAGAGGTCCTGGGTCTCACTAAACTATAAGCCTCAGAATTCTGCAGGAAGGGGCCACAGGATTTTAAGTGGGTTGCATACTCTTTCCCTATTCTTAAAGCCCTAGTGTGAAAGCAGCTTAAAATGATACAAGTTCAGTTCTCCACTGAGCCACAAAGCTCATGAAAGACCTTGGGCACTTTTGCTCAGCTTGCCCTACCTAACAGTTGTGAGGATAAGATGGGGAAGAAGAGAGCCCTGTATGCCACTTTGAAGTGACTGGAGGAAAGGCAGGCTATCTCAAAAACATAAAGTTGGAAAGGGTTGTGAGGGCCATATGGTCCAACCTCTTACTATGCAGGAATACACAAGTATAGAATTCCTGAAAGTTGACTAGTCAACTGAAGGTTTGAAGACCTTCAGAAACAGAGTCCATGTCTCTTCAAGGCAGTTCTATTCCAGTGTTGAACAGTTCTTCCTATGAAGAAATTCCTCCTAATATCTGAATGCAATCTCACTTCTTCTGGTTCATGTTCTATTCTCTGGGGCAGCAGAAAACAAGCTGGCTCCATCTTCTAAATAAGATCCTTCTAGATATTCAGACATGGCTTCGCATCATCTTTCGGTCTTCTGATCTCTGAGCTCAACATGTAAAAGTATATATCAGTATTGGTATAAAACATGTATAGATAAGGAAAAAAGTAATACATACATGAAATCTACAACTAGAAATGTGCCCATGGACATTTGTCCACAACTTCCATGCTGCAGCCATTATGAAAAGAAAGGAAGGTCGTTGAAGCTTGTAGACCTGACATGAAGCCAAGAGCTTGGTGTCCGTATTGAACAGTGAATGCATGGAATTCAAGTGGTTCTTTTTAATTTGGGAAATATGAGTTGATTTTCCCTCTGTTGAAGTTCAGCTGTGCTGGACTCAATACTGGATGGCTCCACTCTGTATTCAGGTACAAGAACAATCCCTCCTGCTTCCTTTTCATAAAATTGCCTACAGTGGGTGTTTTATTTATATGGATTCCAGCATTGTATCTAGCTAAGTTTTTACTGGGAACACTATGCCCCTTTTGCCCTTCGAGTGCCTTATTATTATTTTTATCTTTTTTCCCCGTATGATGCATTAGGGACTAGTTGAAGAGCCCTCTCCTCTTGAAAAGAGTCTACTGGGGACACAGTACATAAGGAACAAACAGAGCATGAATAGACAAGTCTGTTTACCATCTCTGAATGTAGCAATTTAGAAGGGACACAAAGACAACAGTAGAAGCGGAGAGCGGAATTGTGCAGTACACTTGATATGAGCAAGATGGTCCAAAACATACTTGCTTTTGAAGGGCCAATTATGTGTTCCTCTTCAAAAACAGAAGCAACAAGAAAATCGCTAAAGCTTTCAGTAGTTCTTGTTTGGGAAAAGAATATGACCAAGTTGAATAGTAAAACTGAATTCACAGGATGGGGAGAACGTACACCTGTCCAAATGGAAGAGAACAACTCTTTTCAGATTTGGAAATGAATGTCTCCAGTTGGCATGGTCAGAGGCTGCGTTGGCTCAGAAATTCTAGGAGCCATCATCCAAAAAAAAAAAAAAGAGTCATCAAAATTCTGCTTTCTGCCATATCTCTCTACCAAATCAGGGGTTGGAAATTGTCAGGTCTTGTTGGATTTCAATTTCCATCACCCACATGGTCACACATCCCTAGACATGAGCTTTCTAAATATGTTGGTGACATATTTTTTGACCATGCATCATTTTGTGACACAGTAATTCAGTATTACTAGCAAACCAGAAGTTAAACCAACCCCTTCTAGGAAATACATAGCACAACATAATAAATCAAAACTGAGATTCTCAAAATGGGTGGTTCTTTTCTTGTTTAGAGTTTCTGCCGAAATCCTGGATGATAGAAATGGTGTAGCATCTCCAAACCACTGTTACTTCTCTCTGCATAGTTGGATATTATGCTTTGTCTTTTCCTCTCTTTGCAAGGATTTTGACCATCATTGCCCGTGGGTGAATAACTGCATAGGACGGAGAAACTACCGGTATTTCTTCCTTTTCTTGGTATCCCTGAGTGCCCACATGGTTGGGGTGTTTACCTTTGGGCTCATCTTCATTTTGCACCATGCCGAAAAGCTGGGAGCCGTGCATACTGCCATCACGTATCCTTCTTTCAGTGTATTCACAGGCTGTGCACCTCTGGGAATATTACTTCTTAGAAGGCAAACAATGACATAGAATGGAGTACCAGCAGGTCTTCTTTGAAAAATAATCACAAAAATAACATGGGGGAAGATTATATTTTAAGTGTGGAGTACTTTTTCTTCTTCACCCATCTTTATCCATAAAATGCTTGGATTTCCTTAATGTTGACAATACAGCATGGCAGTCATGTGTGTGGCTGGGTTATTCTTCATCCCCGTCATTGGTCTCACAGGTTTTCATATTGTTTTAGTAGCCAGAGGACGCACCACCAATGAACAGGTATTGTTGTTGTTGTGTGATGATGATGATCATCATACATTACAGTTCTACTGGCATTTGTATAGCATACAGTGTAATATTTTAAATATCATACAATAATACATTTAAATAATGAATTTGTGAAAGATGTATTCACAATGTGTATATGGTAAAGTATAACACCATTTTCCAATTGCTCCTGAAAAAGAAGAAGAACTTTATTTTTCTACCCCGCCTCCATCTCCCCGAAGGGACTCGGGGAGAGCTTACATGGGGCCCAAGCCCAGGCAGAATACAATTAAAATAAAGCAATAACAATTAAAACAGCACAAAAACAGCATAAAACAATATAACAAAAATAGCTAGCAACAAAAATAACAGCAGACTAATTTTGGAGGGGGAGGAGGAAAACCACTACGTGAACTAGTTAAAGGATAAAGTGGTTTAGTAAGGTAGATGACAAATGTATAACAGCATAGGAAAAATCATGGAAACAGAGCAAATTAACAGGATCAGTTAATATAATATAGGACATCAGATTGAATGACAATTCAAGTCATGATACAGGCCATTTGTCACAGGAGTCGTCAATTGAAAGCACGGTGAAACATCCTACTGATCAGAAGCAGATCTTACCTGGATCGGAAGGGTTGGCCACTGGCTTTCCAATCCTGGCTTGTCAGAGGAATGGCAAGCTGTATTGTCAACATCCAGACTATGACATAATGCTCACTTTCTAATTGCTATTAAAGTCTTGGCTACTTGTAAGAGGGGCCAAGCAGGATGATAAGCGAACACTCTTTGCCACTAGTGAGGGAGGTTGTGGTATGGCCAATGGCATCCAGACAATGGACAGGTCACACTGGGACCCTTCACAGGTCAACATAGACCTACCTATAAGCTGGACAAATTAATGGTTCTCTTAACATTTTTCAAAGTGCTCTGAATATGATATTTGCAGGTGACTGGGAAGTTCCGTGGGGGAGTAAATCCTTTCACGCGAGGATGCTGTGGCAATGTAGAACACGTTCTCTGCAGCCCTTTGGCACCAAGGTAAGCAAGGGAAGAGAAACCCGTAACACTAATTATAAACTGCAGCTGGATCCACACGCTGTTGTCGTTGTCGTCATCCTTCTCTTCTCCTCAACCGCATTTTCCTCTTCCTTTTTCTTTTCCTCTTGCACCTCCTTATTTCCTTCTCATTCACCTCTTCTCCTCTTTTTCTCTTTATCATTCTCTGCTCCTCTTTTCTTCCTCCTCCTCCTCTTCACTTCTTTCTCTTTCTCCTCATCCTCTGCCTCTTTTTCTCTTCCTTGTCCTCTTCCTCCTTTTTCCTCTTCCTCATCTCTTTCCCACTCTTCTCCTTCTCTTCCTCCCCTCCTTCTTCCTCCTTGTCTTTTTCCTCCTCGTCTTTCTCCTCTTCCTCCATGTCCTCCTTCTTCTCTTCTTCTTTTTCTTCTCCTTCTCTTTCTCCTCCTTCTTTTCTACCTCTTCATTTCTCTCTTCCCCTCCTCATTTTTCATAATTTATTGCGTGGCTAGGCCATTGTTAGACAAGCTGGGTTCCTGACGAATATTCAACTCAGACATTTTGTCTTCTTTACACATTATTTTGGGATAATAGCAACCATAGGAAAATCAGCAGTTCTGTGTGTCAGAAAAGGCCTTCCCACCCCAGTTCTTTCTTTTTAGCTCACATAAGAATGAATGCTTAGTCTAAGGTGGTTCATGACATCTAGAATCAGAGTAAGTGTTATTGCATTCATCTGTGGACCATAGCAGGCTGGAATCAGATAACAACGCATACATAAAAATACAACAGTGTTCAGAGATAATAATTAGCAAAATTAATGAGTAATATATATTCACATATTGCTTGTAACACACTAACATGGGAGACATACTTTTAAAGATTTATATACAAAAGCATTCTGATATTTTCAAGTCTTGCTGACAATTTACAGAAATGGAGAGGAAGCCAATTAAAACATATCCAGTTAATTGGCGAAGGTTTCTTGAACGGGAAGCAATTATCGCTGTGTTGTTATTATTGTATCTGACACTTAACAGGGTATCAGCAGAAAAGAAATGTTGACATCAGGGAAAGATTGAGTCAAGAGTAATAATAAATGGAAATGGGAGGTGCAAAGATATCAAGAGATGGATGCAAGCAGATACAGTTAGTAGCTGGTCTAGTGTAAGTTTAGATTAATTCAGCAGCGCAACTGAAATAACATGCATGGGACTGTGCTGATAGTTAAGTATACTTTTCATTTGAGTTGGAAGTGAGGGCAACAAAAGATAACTTGAACACATAAGCTGCATTTGGCTTCTTTTGGATTGGCTAGGAGATATTGTGATGGAAACAAGTCATCTACACCACTGCTTCTTAAACTGTGGATCCTAACCCCAAATGAGGTCCCCTTAGCTCAATGTTGGGGGTCACAAAAATTGACAACAGGTTTCTGAATGCCACCTAGTGGCTGTTTTAGGCATTACATTAAGCTGTTAGAAACAATATGCAGTGGACTCTGCAGAAAATGCTTCAGCCATACTTCACAAAAAAAGGAAATCGGCCTGTTTAGCAAGCCTTGCAAGTGCTAATTTATTATCAATGTTTGATTTTATACCTATTTTATATACATATATATTTGTATACTTGGGCACACATCACAATTTCTGGGGCAGAAAGGGTCACAAGTGGAAAAGGTTTAAGAAGCTCTGATCTACACTGTAGAATGAATGCTGTTTCATACCACTTGAACTGCCATGATTCAGTTCTATGGAATTCTGGGAGCTGGTTCCATAGCACTGAGCTATGGCAGTTAAAGTGGTATCAAACATCATTAATTCTACGGTATGGGTGCACCCTACATGGGCTACAGGTGTGCGGTCTTTCTCCTTCTCTCATTTATTATGGCTACAGGGAGAATATTGGAAGCTTTTCCTCCTAAACTTATTGAGTTGCAGTTCAGCACTATGTGTGGACCCTAAATGCTCAAAACACTCCCAGGGATGAGATAAGTAGTTATCTGGTATATTTGTTCCTTTTATCTCCAGCCCCTTTTAATTGGTTTCATTGCTTATCAAACCACATACAACCTCAAGGCAGATTTTTATTGACTGCAGTGTTTTTAATAATTATTTCATCATCCTAGTTTGCACAATCATCCAACTTTACACAGAACGCCCACCATCACCTGAACGAAATCGAAGTTCCTCCAGCTAATCTTTGCCCCTTAAGCATTATTATTGATGGAGGCTTTGGGTTTCAGTCTCCCTGACAACTTTGATGATTATGAAACAGAGACAATTCTCTGTTTGCCAAAGAACAGAAAAAGGAGTTAATTGGAGCAGTGATATTTTCTATATGCTTGCAATGATCTCGAAAGCCAAAAGAACAGGAGAAGAGAGTGTATGGTAACATGTCTGATTTAATTTAAATATTTTTAAATTTGTCTAGTTTGGATTGTTAGCTATCCTGAATCCCCACGGGGGGAAAGTTGGGGTATAAATAAAGATAATCATAATAATTTATTTATTATTTAAAACTTTTATATCCCGATCTTCTCAACCTCCGTAGAGGGACTCAGACCGGATATAATAATAATAATAATAATAATAATAATAATAATAATAATAATAATAATAATAACAACAACAACAACAACAACAATGCTATCTCAGATTACATTGGGGTGATGGTTTTGTTCACTTAAGGTTCTTGAATAAGAGCTCCCAAAATTGGCTATTTTCTTTATGAAAAAACAGACAGATTTGCCCATCCAAGTAGAAAGCTTTGAGTGCTTTGCTCATAGAGATAGAGGACTCTCAAAAGTCTCCCAATTGAAACCATGTGTTGAGTCTTCATGGTGCTAAATTTAGAGAGCCACCTATTTTTTTTCCATCCAGCTCCTTGTCTTTAACAACAATGTGGCAGAAAGTTCAACATGGCCCTCTCCATGCTGGAAATAGCTGTAGCTCCAGTCAGTTTGCCAAGATTGAAGCAAATATAGTACATATTTATCAAAATAGGTGTATACTTCTGAACTAGTAGGTAATTTTGATCTTCTTTGGGAATCAGTGTAATGTTGGCTTCCTGCTACATCCATCTCCTTTCAAAAATATCTTGTTCAAATCTTAGTGAAGCTTTGAACTGCTAAGGCTTTGTAATAAACTACAGTGAAGCCATCTGGTTCTGGTGCTCTACCTAATTTCAACCTTTGAATGGCTGTTATCACTTCCTGCACTGTAACAGTTTTTGTTCCTCCTCTGAGATAGTTAAGAGACTCTGCTTTTGAAGATATCCTTGTATTTGACCTTACCTGCCCTCAGGTACATTGTTGAGCCAAAGAAGAAGCAGCCTGTAACGGTTAAGCCACCTTTCCTGAGACCAGATACAGCAGAGCGACAGGTCACAGTGAAGATCAGCGACAATGGTATCCAAGCTAATCTCAATCGAAGTAAGGTGAGCAGGTACACTTTCTGGCAGATGGGTGGGCCAGCGTCAGACTTTGGCCCTTTTGTTGTTTTGTGGCTTCTGGCATTTAGTCTGGCTGAGGGACCTCATGTGGCCCAAAAGCTGCACCTTGCCCATCCCATAGTAGAGCCAGCTTCTAGCAGTGGAATACAGTAGTGTATTGCTAGGTCCATGAAGCTAATCAAAATTAATCGTGGAGGTCATCTAATCTCAAGTGCTGCTTGAAGTTTAATTAGCATGTTTCATGGTTATTTTCAGTCTAAAGTTAGCCTGGAAGGGCTGGAAGAGAAAGCCATGGATATCCAACCTCCTCTCCCACCCAAAGGAGATTCTAGCAAATACAGTGAGCTGGGCAGCAGTGAAGGTATGGTGTTTTATTGATGTTTTAATTTTGAAACCAGATGAAATTATTGGGGTCCCTTTAATCTTGGAATCTTGGGATATTTATTGAGCTGGGCTGTGATACAGAAACCATTTCACCCGACCAAAAAACATAGTAGGGTGTTTTACCTTCCATTCATCAGATAGTAGATTATGGGAAAAACCTCAAGGATGAAGAAGGAGTGCTGCTACCAGTCAGAAGATATGTGGTGGCCCAGGATAGTAGGCTCTTAGAAGCATAGAACCCTAGAATCATACAATTGGAAAAGACTCCAAGGCCATCTAGTCCAGCCCCCCATTCTTCCATCAGATACCAAGGGCCCATTGAATCACCCCCCCCCCCCAAAAAAAAACCCCAACTCTTGGTATCTTGGTTTTTAGTCCTGTTTCTGGGGTTCTTTGGGATGCTGATTCAGAAAATTGCATTGGATAGACTCTCATTTCTTAGAAATGGTTATCATGGTTTTCTCTGGGTGAGCAAATGATGGCTGGTAGATGGCATATGTCACGTATCATAAAAATGAGAGTCAATGGGGGGAATCTGGTGCCTTTTTTGGAATCAGCAGGTCAAATAGACCCAGAAACAAAGCTAACGTTTGAGGCAACAAAATGTGTGTTCGCCAGTGCTATGGCAAAAGTCAAATGGGAAGGAATTACAGCCCTTTGTCAGTTAAGCAGGACCAGTCCAGAGCCTGAAAGTATTTCCTTATCCTGGAAAATCCTGCAAATTGGCACTCTGACACTTGGTCCCATGGAGCAACCTCCAACATAACCTATAGTTTCTACTTTCTGACATATTTTCTGAACACATGCTTGTCCAGAAAAAAGAGGGGTTAATTGTTTGTCCTTTGTGACCATCAAGACAGAAGTAATATGTTTGATTTGTCTTTCTCCTGTTTCCCTTTTCTTTAGAGAGTGGCCTTTCCCCCAAAGTCATCAGCCCTCCCACACCAGCGATGTATAAGTATCGCCCAGGTTTCAGCAACAACCCAAAAGTCCACTACCATGGAGCAGCTGAGCAAGTAAGTGATAATCTGGTCCTGACATCATGGAATCCATCTCCCTCCACAATGTTGAAAGATTAAGAACGCCACACAACTGACACCAATGGATACTATCATGTGTACAGAAATCATACATTCATACATCCTTACATTAAATTGCATGCTGAATAGGAGAGATAGTAAATTGCACAAAGCCTACTGGCTATTGAACAATGAACCCTGCACATATTCCATACGACATTGAAACAGAACCTGAATTTTCAATCCATATATATGGTATATATGGCTCAAGAACACAGCCCAGCAAAAAAAAAATTGCGTCTTTGTTTTTAAGTCTGTTCCTGGGGCTATTTGGGGCAATGATTCAAGAAATTGCATTGGATAGACTACATCAGCTCTAGCTTCTTGTATATCAGTGTTCCCAACCATTCTCAGGGACCACTTTGACCAGGGACCACTCTCCAACATTAGTACCAGAAGGGTTACAAATCCATTTTTGTTCAACTTTAGATTTGGTTTGGTTATTTGGGGTGCTGGTTCAGAAAATGGCACTGGATAGACCACATCAACTCTAGTTTCTGATGCCATCCAGTAGTCGCCATCTACTCACCCACCGAAAACCATATTTAATAAGCCTTGGCACTATAAGAGGGTTTTGCAAGACCAGTTGCTCTCATTGCAACAGTTTAGGCTGCTGACCATATTTTAGTTCTTGACCAGGTTTGAAACCACTGTTGTATGTGGTTATCATAGTTTCCTATGGACAAGCAGATGGCAACTGGTAGATGTCACATGCTCTGTATCTCAAAAACCATAGCTGAGAGGGGGAAGCAGTCAAATAGACCCAGAAATAGGTCTGACATTTGGGGCTAACACTCAAGGCACCAAAACATGTGTTGGCAGGTCGAATGTACACACAGAGATGTATTTGTGTGTATATGTATATAGAGAGAGACAGACAGATAGAGATAGATAGATTGTCGGAAAAGTCAAAATACAATTGCATAACTGGAAGAACACATCATGATTACAAGATATATACAAAGCATAACGGTTTAAATCAAATCACACAACTGGAGACCACAAACAGTGCAATTGGACCAAGCAAAAAAAAAAAAGGGGGGGGGGCCCTCCGGTAATATCCAGCTGATTTCTATTCAGCCAAGGTTAGTTGACTTTGTTGGTTATCTAGAGAAAATCAAGATGAAATAAATATTTAAAATTACCCAAAACCTGGGTCGTACTTAGCTGGGAGACCAACAAGGAATATCAGGTGCTGTAGGCGATATTTCAGAGGAAGGCACTGGCAAAACTATCTTGCCTAAGAAAACCCAATGAAATTCATGGGGTCACCGTAAGTTGATAGGTGACTTGAAGACACGTATTTATTTATTTATTTGCAATATTTATATTCTGCCCTTCTCACCCCGAAAGGGACTCAGAGCGGATCACAGAACACATATACGGCAAACATTCAGTGCCGTTATACACTGACAATGGAGGCAACTGTACATAGATATAGGTATATAGAGGCTTTCCAATCTTCAGCATCTTGGAAGTTGCGCTTGGTTCCAGCCACGGGGGGTGGGGTGTGTGCGCGCGCTATTGCTCCATCTTCCCTACCAAAGAGCTTTTTTTGTAAACTTCCTCTTCGATCGAATTGCCGACATTTTTCTGGCATTTCCTTATGGGTGCCTTAAAATACCTCTCCGCTTTAAAGCAGTTCCTATTTATCTACTCACATTTGTTTTAAAACTGCTAGATAGGCAGAAGCTGGGCTAAAGACCAGGAGCTCACCCTGACCCGGGGTTTCGAACTGTCAACCTTTCGATTGGCAATATTTACTGAAGCAAGCCTTTCATAGCAATACTAGTCAAAGAAATAGCTGTGTCAGCCTGTTTTGGCATAAAATGATTTCAGGAACTCTTGTTGCACCTTTGAGACCAACTGAGAAAAAGAAATGTGTAGCGCAAGCGTTCGTGGCATCATGGATGCAGCTGATGAGGTCCACAAAAGCTCATGCTGGAAATGTCTTTTTCTCAATCTCAAAGGTCCCACAGGATCCCCTGACCTCTTTTTATACTTTTTGGGAATGTACCTCCCAGAAGCTGGTTGGTGGATTCTGGGAGCTCCAGTCCGATGAGGTAAGTTTCCCACCTGCTGCTGCTGTGTTTCCCGTCATAGGAGTGAGAATTTTATAGGCACCTTTTTTCTTTAAAAAAAAAGAAAAGAAAAAGATGCAGGGCATCTTGCGAGAATCAAAATATACCATCAATGAACACAGAAGGCATTGAAGGACTATACCTAGAATGTAAAAGCACCCTGTTCCTCAAAAATAACATACACTAAGTTTAATCAACTGGCATAATGAATAGGTTTTTAATTGATTTTAAGGGTTCTAAGTGTTTATCTTTAATAATGTTAATATTTAATTCTATTTTAATGTTTGTGTGTTTTAAGGTTTTAAATAGCATTATATTTGCTTTATTGTGAGCCACTTTGAGTCTCTTTTCTAGAGAGAAAGAGCGGGATACACATTATTATTATTTATAATTATTTGTATTTATATTTATATTTATTATTATTATTATACAAATCAGCCCATCCCATCATCATCACTATCATTATTAATATACCACTTTTTCTCAGTAATTATTTATAATTATTATTTATTGATTATTATTATTATTATAAAAATCAGTCCATCCTATCATCATCATTATTAATATACCACATTTTCTCTATAATTAATTATAATTATTATTTATCATTATTAATTATTATTTTTATTTTTATTTTAAAAATCAGCCCATCCCATCATTATCATTATTAATATACCACTTTTTCTCTATAATTATTATTATTATTATTATTATTATTATTATTATAAAAATCAGCCCATCCCATCATCATCATTATTAATATACCACTTTTTCTCTATAATTATTTATAATTATTATTTATAATAATAATAATCAGCCCATCCCATCATCATCATTATTAATATACCACTTTATAATTAATCATATTTATTATTATTATTATTATTATTATTACTATTATTATTATTATAAAAATCAGCCCATCCCATCATCATTGTTATCATTATTAATATACCACTTTTTTCTCTAAAAGAGACTCAAAGCACAGTGGTAAACACAATACAATTATAATTTTAACAGGCTTTTTTGGCCGTTTTGTTCCTTTTTTCCAATTGTCCTGAGTTGTTGTCCCTCCACATAATGACACTGCAATAAAAATGCAACAAATAGCTCAACGAATAACACGACAGATTCCTTTTAAAGCAATGTCACAAGTAATGGAAATGCATTTTTTTAAAAATAACCATACTGAGTAATGGGGAACAAATTACTTTTCAAAAAGAGTTTTCCGCTCTTGTTTTGTATTTGGTTCCTTAGAGGTTCTGTACCACACATAAAGCAACCCTGCCCTTTAACCAGGGTCCTTTTTAACTTTGAAAAGCGAGGCAGGGACATGGATCAAGAAATCCCCCTTTAAGAGACTATCTTCTAATGGTTCATAAATCTCTCTCAGAGAGCCTGTCTCCCTGTTGATGGAAAGAGCTCTTGTGAAAGGCAGCCTTGCAATATGAGATTTCAGCGTCAAGTTGGCCATGTCTGGAAAGCTTATTATCTCCAATGTTTCAGCTTATTGCCTGACAAATGGCTTCCTGCTTCTATTTGTTACTGTTTTATATGTTTGTGCCTGCTAGAACCTCACCTCCAATCTGGAGCAGAATATTTGGAAAGGGCAGGGCTATAGAAACGGGACTTTCAGGGACAACAGTGTACGAAAGCGGAGCTTGGGCAATGTAAAATATAATTAGTTACAATTATTCTCCCTCCCTCTCCGAAGCTACTGTTATAATTATAAGTATTTAAAAGTAAACCTTTGCTTCCCTGTTTAACAGATGTAACTATATTAATTAATTTTGGACAGTAATTACAAATCACTTGGTAGCCTGCTGCGAACAATTGGTCTGTACTTTGCAGATGAAATTACTCAGATCCACTCTGGCTTGGTTGTTATAATTGATGCAGAGCCAGTCGATGTAACCTATGTGCAGCCTGAGGATGTGTACAGGATCCTTGGAGATGTGATCACCACCACAAAGGATCTAGACCACATGGGTCAAACTCAAGGCCCATGGGCCAAATCCAGTCCTCCATGTCCTTTTATGTGGCCCTTCAGATACTGGACTACAACTCCTAGATTCTTCATCATTAGACACCCAGCTGTTGGGAGTTGTGATCCAGTCACATTTGGAAGGCTGCAGTTGGTTTTATTGAGTCAGGAGAGTGGGGTTTGCATTGAGATACAAGTCTTGTGGATATATCTAGCTTTTAAATGCCCTTTGACCTTTCCCCGGCCTCAGAGCCACAAGGGCTATTGGGGTTGCAGTTCCTATAATCCCCAGTCCACATGGCAGATAATGAAAAGTGATGGGAGTTGTTGTTCAATAACATCTGGGGATCCAAATGGGCTTAAAACTAAACACTATGTAAAAAATATAGTTGGCCCTCTGTATCCACGGATTCTTCATCCATGGATTCAACAGCCCTTTGAAGGCAACCATAAGGCTGATGCGGCCCTCGATGGAAATGAGTTTGGCAATTCTGATCTAGGCCCTTGCCCTTCCTGTCTTATTCAAAAAGCTAGAGGGGAACTGATTGAGGTGATAAATGGGGTGGTTAAGGTTTCATTAAAACAAGGCAGAGTCCCATTTTCAAAGGAGGCTGTTATTAAACCATCACTAAAAAGCCTTCCCTAGATTCTCACATTCCATTTTAGGTAAGGTTCTGGAGAGGCTCTGGAGCATGTGATGGCATCTCAGCTCCCATATGATTTCTGTCTGAAACAAATATTCCATTTCAGTCTGCTTTCAGACTTTGTTTTGGGACAGAGGCAGCTTTGGTTGCCTTTGTGGATGACCTACACCAGGAGCTGGACAGGGGAAGTGTGTCTCCGTTGGTTCTGCCAGATCTCTTGGTGGCTTTGGATACCATTGACCACATGAACCCAGCAGTGTGTCTTTCCTTGCTTTTCTTTCAGATCTCCATCCAAGAAGGACACAAGCAAGGCTCTGTCATAGAAGAGAATGACAGTAGCTTGGATTACCAGTCGGAACCCAGCCTTGATATTCCCACCTACCGGAAAAGTTCCCTTCACAAGACGTACCAGTCTTCTCCACTGCAGATAGACTCCTTTGCTGTCAATTCACGGTCTCTGAGCCTGAAATCTGCCAGCAGGAGGGGAACAGACAAGATGCCCCTCCACACCCTGAAGTCTGAAGGAACGGCTTCCACACCTTACAAAAGCATCTTTTCCCCCCACTCTCTCTCAAACAGGAATGGGAGCCTGTCCTATGACAGCTTGCTCAACCCCATGTCCCCTTCCGGGAGGAGGTGCGTGGCCCATTCCGCCATGGGCTCTGTGGGCTACCACTCGCCATATTTGTCTGCCAAAATGTGCCACCTGCGGGGCAGAGAGCTTCAACGCCCTCCTCCACAGAGTTTCAGTCCTGTGCTGGGCAGCCCAGCCCCACATCCACGGGACCCTTCCCCAGTCCGTTATGACAACCTGTCAAAAACAATTATGGCATCTATTCAGGAGAGGAAAGAAATTGAGGAGCGGGAGAAGCTCCTTCTCTCACACCCAGACTCTGTGTTTGCAGACTCGGGTGTATATGACACTCCAAGTTCTTATAGCCTTCAGCAAGTGAGCATGCTGTCGGAAGATCCCCGTAGCATCGCCATGAGATATGGCTCAAGGGACAATCTTATGTCTGCCGCCAGCTTTAGCATGAGGAACCCTGTCCTGCAGGCCTCTGTTTCTTCTCTCTCGAGTGCAATGACCAGGGCATCAAGGACTTCCACACCGTCCATCCAAGCAGATCTAGCCAATAACAATGTCCAGGCCCATCAGGCACTGCAGGGCAGGATGAGCAACGGCGCTTACAAATCTCCCAGCCACCAAGTCCCATCGTCCCCGAGTGGGATGACTCGGTCACCTTCATATGGAGGCCCCAAAACTGTCTCGTTTGTTAATACCATGGAGATAACGGAGGCACAGCCTATGGGAACTCCAAGGTATTTATTTATTTATTTATTTACAGTATTTATATTCCACCCTTCTCACATCGCAGTGGACTCAGGGTGGATTACAATGCACATATACATGGCAAACATTAAATGCCAGTTAGACATACAACATATATAGACAGACATAGAGGCAATTTAACATTCCAGCTGTGCCCAAGCTTTTCTGGCTTCATGAGGGTATGCTTTATTCCAGATAATTCTCTAGTGGATTGCCTAATCAAAGGCACAACAGAACATTCAGGTTTTTAATTCCCTCTGAAAGGAGGACAAAGTGGGAGCCTGTCTGATCTCCCTAGGGAGGGAGTTCCAAAGCTGGGGGGCCACCACCAAGAAGCCCCTCTCCCTCGTCCCCACCAGTCGCACTTGAGACGGGCGGTGGAAGAGAGAGCAGAGCCTCCCCAGATGATCGCAGGGTACTCACTGGTTTGTAGGGAAAGATGTGATCGTGAAGATAGGTAGGTCCCAAACTGTTTAGGGCTTTGTAGGTGATCACCTGCACCTTGAATTGGGACTGTAAACTTATTGGAAGTTAGACAGCTGAAACAACCAAAGCTTGTATGTGATAACTTATCAGAGCCACTGTTTCACCCTTTTCACCCAAGCCCACCCCTCGCTCAATGTGACATCCTTTCATATACTGTATGTAAGCATGACTATTGTGTCCCTTCTGGACCTTCTTTTCTCGAGGCTAAACATACCGAGTTCCTCAAACTTCTTCTCATAGAGATTCATGGTATCTAGACCTTTAACCATGTTGATCCCCTTCAATCTTGTCCATCTACTTCTTGAATTGCTTTGCCCAGACCCAGACACAATATGAGGTCTGACCAAAGCAGAATAGAGGGGGACTATGATTTCCCTCTATCTAGTCACAATACTCTTCTTGATGCAGCCTAGAATCTCATTTAGTTTTTAAGCTGCCACATCACACTGTGGACTCATGTTCAGCTTGTGGTCTACTATGATTCCTAAATCCCTTTCCCATGGATGTTTCCAAGCCAGGTGTTCCCCATCCTATATTTGTGCCTTTCATTTTATAGTTCGATAAATTTCTTCCTGATGAAATTCATTTTTGCTAGTTTGGGCCAATCAGATCTCCAATCTGTTATGGTCGTTTTGGATCCTGATTCTGTCTTCTGGAGTGTTAGCTGTCCTTCCCAATTTGGGGTCATCTGCAAACTTGATGAGCCTGCCCTCTAAACCTTCATCCAAGTCATTCATAAACATGTTGAACAGCCCCAAAAGGCCCAAAACAGAGCTCTCTTTATGGCACCCCACTAGCCTCTTCTCTCTAGGATGAGGAAGAGCTACTGGGAAGCACCCATTGGGTTGGGTACTTCAACCAATTCCCAATCCACCTCACAATACCTAGCCCACATTTTATTAGGATTTTGTATGAGAATGTCCCAAACACCTGGAGGGCCATAGGCCTGATTTAGCCTCATGTAGTGTTTAAGTGCTCTGAATAGGAAGTGTCCAATATTGACATTCTCTATCAGTCAATTATAATATCCATATACCAGCCTTCCCCAATAAGGCACTGCCCACAAGTACTGGTCTACAGCACCCCAACCCCCAGAGACAAAGCCATGCTAGGGTATTCTGTGGGTTGTGGGTTAATACGTACATACATAGGGCTCAAGCTGGTGAAAGCTGCTAGATAAAATAACAGCCACTGGAATTCAATCAAATATTGACTGCAGGTCCTTCAAATTCCAGACTTCAAATATTAGAGGTGACATTTGCCAAGTAGTGTGCTCCTAATTGTTCATTTTTCTCACAGCTGGCATGTGAGCAAGTGTGTTATGTATATTCAGACATACAAGCAAGACAGCCAAGGGTCATGGTATGGAGGACTTAAGTACAATACTTTATTTACCTTAAAGAAAAATCAACGTTCGCAGGTACAGTACGACTCCTGTATCTGCAAGGGATATGTTCCCGGAATTTGTGTGGATACACATAACCATTAATAACAATGAACTCTATTGAAATGAAGACTTCTAGTCCAAGAAGTCCATACTGTTGCACTGGAGGACCTCGAAATGCCTATAGGGGATATATGGATAAATGAAACTAGATCCCAGTGCCGTATTGTACATGATGAGCCATTTGGCCTTTCCGTCAAAGGACCAAATCTAAAATATTAGCTCTTTGAAACACAGAGCACTCCTAAGGACCAAGTGCTTGTTCTTTTCTTGATGTTTTTCTCAGGGTTGAGGCTGGTGAGGTGCCAACATGGTTTTGGTATCTCTGAGGAGATGGCCATGTCCTGCTAGAGCCAATCAGTTGGAAAATAGTGATGTTCCTATCTAACATACCTGAAGACATTTTTCGATTTTTTAATGTTGTGTGTGCATATGTGTTCCATAAAATAAATGCACGTGTGGCACATCTAATTTTTTAAAACTGCCTGATTCATGAGGCAAAGCAGTCAACTGAAATGGCATTATTCACTGGTGGGTACAATCCATAGTTCTGAATGGTTCTAAAGTACTTACAAAACTAGGGGGCACTGTTGCTTTGCTTCTGCAGTGTTGCTAAAGTTCTGGTAGTGAAAAATTCAAAACTTTAACAAAACTTTCAAAATTTTGTTACAAATGGCAGTTCCTAATTGGTTCTGTCATAAAAATTGCCAGTAATGAAATAATAATGACATTTTGTTAGGGTTCTGAAATTTTCACCACCAGAACTTCAGCAACACTGTAGAAGCAAAGCACCAGCGCCCCCTAGTTTTGTAAGTACTTTAGAACCATTTAGAACCATGGATTGCCCATGCCTAGTGGGTATGGTTGCCAATTGCATTGTGAAGGCACAGCGGATGAAGGTGGAAAGATGTACTCAAGAGGCAGGACACAATAAATTATTATTCTTACTATTATTATTTGTATGCCACTTTTCTGTCTTAAAAGAGACTCAAAGTGGCTAGAAAGAACAATTAGGGTGCATCTACACTGTAGAATGAATGCACTTTGACTCCACTTTAACTCCCATGGCTCAATGCTGTGGGATCTTGGGAGTTGTAGTTTTGCAAGGTCTTTAGCCTTCTCTGCCGAAGCACTGGTGTTTTGGCAAAATAGTATTGAGCCATGGGAGTTCAAATGATGTCAGACTGCACTGATTCTACAGCATAGATGCACCCTTACTCTTGATTTTCACATACAAACATGCAGATTTAATTTAATTGCCTGTCTGTATGGGACCAATGTACACTAAGAATAGTTTTGGTAGAGATGTTTCATGAAAATTGGTGTGCCATTCAGGCAGTTTCCATATGTTTTCCTCACAACAACTTTGTGAGATAGATCAGACAAAATGGAAGCAATTGTTCCAATGCCACTTGGTGAAATGTGCGAGTAAATTTTTGCCAGAGCTTGGATGAATTCTTCTTTTGAACAATAGCTCCTAGAATCATGCAGTCAGCTAGAGATACTGGGAACTGTTCTTCAAAAAAAGTCACTTCCCCAAGCTCTAGCCTGTTCGTAAGCACTTTGGGGAATCCGGATACACACTGTCTCAGGGATGTTTATGTTTGCCCTTGCTTTCTGCCTCCTAACACCCCGAACCCATTGTCTTTCTTCTGACACAGGGAAGACATCCAGTTGAAGGCACCTCACAGTAAAATTAATGGACAGCCCAAAGGGATTTCCCGAGTGGAATGCCGGCTGGGCTCCACGTCGAGCTCCCAGGGTGCCCCCGTCAGTCCCGCTCGACACGCAAATGTTAAGAAAGTGTCCGGAGTGGGTGGAACCACATACGAAATTTCAGTATAAGAAAATCCATCGACTTAAGAGCCATCCGCAAACCCAGCCGCCAAAGCTAGGTGCACTGTGAAGATTCAGAGAATAAGGCCAATGAGAAGACAAGCTGATGGCGTCCTTTCTATATTGTTTCATGGTGGTTGGGACATTCCCCCGCCCTACCCTTCGTCTTTTAAAGACTAACACTCTTGGAGTTTCTTTCTCTCTTTGTTTCTTTGGCCCAAACCAGCTGCAGCCTTATTCTTCGAGGAATCGACTTTGTACAGCTCTTTTGAGACTCTCTGGAACGGACAGAAGGGGACTGGCCACGCTGTCTGCTGAACCACGGCATCACCAATGTTTGGACATCGATTTAGATTTTGTGAAAGAGAATGGGAAAAGTCGCCGTGTGTTTGTCTCTGTCCGCCGAAGCCTGCCGTGTCGATGTTGACGTGCTGTGGTCAAAATGACAGCTTGTCCAGACTTTAAGCGTTTCCCCTTAAACCCTCGAGGTTTGGTGGCCAATCATAATGAAGATTTTTCTTTTTCCAGCCCATCATGATAAAAGATCAGATCACTTGGAGGAAGTCCATTACCCAGCCTTTTGTAGATGCTGCCCACCCCCCTTTTCCAGAGCAGTGTCTGATCCATTTCAAATGTGGAAGGAGAATCCCATACACACTCCTTTGTGCATAGACATCTCTTTCTTCTGTTGGAATGAATGGAGAAGTCCGCATATATAGGAAGGTCAAAGAGTATAGTATGTGTCAAAGAGAATGCCAAATAATCCCTCTTCAGATAAAAGAAACCAGTGAGCCTTTGAAATGTTGTCCGTTCTTTTAGAGATCATTCTACGGGCAATGGAAGGAAAAGAGTCTGATTTTGCAATTGTTATTCCTTGCCGTTTGTATAAAAGTACGCACACAACAGGAGTTTGTCCTATGCCGTGAGAGTTGTCACACAGTTAAGGAACGTCTGTTTCACCTTGGACTGATTGAGATGGTTTTTTAAAAGCCTACTGTGCTCAAAAAAGGGGGAGGCGACTCAATATTCAGATGGTATTATTATTATTATTATTATTATTATTATTATTACGAATTACCCTCCTTCCTTCTCGTCTGCTATTGGAGATGGGCTGAAAAGTGGTGTATCATCTTGCACTGGCGCAATGTGTATAATCGCAACGTAAAGTATTCTGATCTGTTGAAATCTACAGTGTGTGTGTGTGTGCAAATGTGCGTGAGTGTCAGATTGTGTGCGTGATTGCCAAGCGCAGGCTTGTAGGAGATCTGTGTCGCTGCCTGCCTGACTTGCAGTGAGTTTTCTGTGAGCCCTCAATATTATGAGACAGCTATGTTCCAATGCTTGTGTTCACTCTTTATCTAATTCGCTTTGTGAGAATCTGAAGGCAAACATCCCCAAGCAAGTGGTTTACAAAATTTCTAAAATGTATATTCTCCTAGACATGGGGAGGTTTGGTTTTTCTCCCCTCTTGATGGATACAAATGCGAATGCTTTGGCAGAGCAGGTCAAGAAAAGTAAGAGATAAAAGTATAGCATCTAGGCACTTGATCCTTAACATGATTGCCTTAAAAATGTCTTTGTACATATGATCGACTTCTTTGTGTAAATTGCCCTCCCAATGCAATTTGAAAAGTGACATTTCAAGGTATCCGAATGCCTAGTGTTTAATTTTGTCACAATTTCATTTTAGCCCATATCCATTGCCGCAAGATGTGAGCTGGTGTGTGTACGTGTGTGCTTTTTCAGAAATGTTATTGAGTGCTGGAGGCTGATTTGGATTGAAACTTCAGTGTTGGAGGCCACTTGATTCTGCAGTTAAGAGCAGTCATTCCTCAGGGGTTCCTATTTACTCTCGGAAGGAAACAAACATCGAACTGCGGGGTAAATGTCAGCTGGAGGAGTCAAGTAATCAGATAAATACAGGGTGAAAGTTGAACTTCTTCCCTTAGCAGAGAGGTTTAGTAAAGTTGCATTCTAATGTTCAGTGTGATCCCCTTTCCAGCCCCTTGGAATCCCCTAGGTCCCCCCTCGGGGGTTGAGAAGGGCGGGGTAGAAATGCGTGAAATAGGTACTCAGGCTTGCTTCCTCATATTTTGATGGCTCTCCGGCTATTGCATTGCTTTCACCTCATTTCAAAAGGTTGAAACACCTCTTCTAAGTCTCAGTTACTGGCTGTAAAAAAATCAAAGCTAAAATATGTGGTTACTTTAGGTCCTGTCCGCTTACCTTTGAGAATTTCTCTGCAATTGAATTTGCCTCTTGGATTGTTTTCTACCCCTGGTTTCAACTCATATTGTTGGTCATTGACCACAGCCAGCTTCCTGCACTCACAGACTCATAAATTTGTGGAGTTGGAAGAGATCCCAGAGGCCATCCAGTCCAACTCCTTTCTTCCATGCAGAAAAGGCACAATCAAAGCACTCCTGACAGATAGCCATCCAGCCTCTGTTCAAAAGCCTCCAAAGAAGGAGTCTCCACCAGACTCCAAGGCAGAGATGTCTACTGTTGAACAGCTCTTCTTATAGTCAGGAAGTTCTTCATAAGGTACAGGCGGAATCTCTTTCCCTGTCATTTGAACCTATGGCTCCATTGAGTCCTAGTCTCCAAGGCAGCAGAAAGGAAGCCTGCTCCCTCCTCCTTATGACTTCCTTTCAGATATTGAAACATGGCTCTCATGTCTCCTCTCACTCTTCTCTTCTGCAGCTAAACAGATACTGTACTCTTCTGGTGCAGCCCAAAAACCTATTGGCTTTTTGAGCTGCTGCCATTTTACCATTTTCTCTTAGGCAATCCCTCGTAGCTCGAGGATGATTGTCTTCCAGATGTGGTGTCTTGGAGGTGGGTCTGTAGGTAGCTGTGGAGCCCTATTCTTGATCCGCATGTTCTCCCGCAGTGAGGACATTGTTTTCCAGATGGAAGGTGGTCCCAGTCAGGGTTGGCTTGACGTGCCTTCCTCGTGGCACGTTTCTCCCTTTTGTCCTCCATTCGTGCCTCTTCAAATTCTACAGCACTGCTGGTCACAGCTGACCTCCAGCTAGAGCTCCCAAGTGCCAGGGTTTCCCAGTTCTCGGTGTCTATGCTACAGTTTTTAAGGTTGGCTTTGAGCCCATCTTTAAATCTCTTTTCCTGTCCTCCAACATTCCGTTTTCCATTCTTGAGTTCAGAGTAGAGCAACTACTATGGGAGATGGTGATCGGGCATTCAGACAACATGGCCGGTCAGGCGGAGTTAATGGCGGAGGACCATCGCTTTAATGCTGGTAGCCTTTGCTTCTTCCAGCATGCTGACATTTGTCCATCTGTCTTCCCGAGAGATTTACAGGATTTTTTTGGAGGCAACGCTGATAGAATCATTCTAGGAGTTGCATGTGACGTCTGTAGATAGTCCATGTTTCGCAGGCATATGGTTTATAAAGCTATTGGGAGGTCAATAGCTTTATAAACAAGCACCTTGGTATCCCTACGGATGTCCCGGTCCTCAAACACTCTGTGCTTCATTCGGAAAAATGCTGCAGAGCTCAGGCGGTGTTATATTTAGGTGTCAATGTTGACTTTTGTGGAGAGGTGGTTGCTAAGGTAGTGGAAACGGTTAACATTTTCTAATGTTACACCATTAAGCTGTATTTCTGGCATTGGAGAGGGATTGGCTGGTGACTGCTGGAAGAGCACTTTTCTCAATGTTCAATGAGAGGCCGAGCTTCTCATATGCTTCTGCAAAGGTGTTTAAGAGTGGCCTGTAGGTCTTCTTCTGAGTGCGCACAGACGACATTGTCATCAGCATATTGGATTGTTGTGACCTTGGTTTTGGCTTTCAGTCTGCTGAGGTTAAATAGCTTGCCATCTGTCCAGTAGATGATTCCCACTCCGTACTGTACCATTGACTTTTTGAGCTGCTGCATCCCATTGTTGGCTCATGTTCAACTTGTTGTCCACTAAGACTCCAATATTTTTTTCACATGTGACTTTGTTGTCGAGCCAGACATCGCCCACTTTGTATCTGTGCATTTTGATTTTTTTCTCTCTTAGTATCTTACATTTCTCGTACAGTGTTATCTCGGTAGAGGATCTTGGATGATCTGTGACTTGGATGGAATTCCACCCTTTCCTCCCCACCATCCTATAGAAAATGCTTCCTCTGAATTTTGAATGTTGGGAGGAAGCCAATGGCACAAACAGTCACTCTAGAAGAGGGATTTCCCTCAGGGACACAGCAGGAGAACAGATTAGATGTCCCCTCCCAAGACTGGTTCTATGTCCCATTCATGTTCAGAGTCCTGCTCAACTGATCTCCTTTGCACTTTCAAAGACCTCCGCAGATTAGAAGCAAAGAGTCATTTAACACAGGCATGGGGTTAAAAGAGCATCCCTTTCCATTTTCTTCAACTGTTTGCTCCCAAATATTTTGGTTTCCAGAGGATTTTTATGTATGGAAAGATCATCGTAAGAGCTTAAAGAACACTTTTTTAAATTGCAGGGGTTGTAAGGCTCTCTGTAGGAGCTCTTGAAGCTGTTTCATGGCAATGATAGAAGACTTTATATGTTGATGATGAAGCATCCCTTTCTGTCATTGATGTGTTTGCAGACTGGTACACGTGTGTGGTCTGAATAATGATGGAGCAAGGATTTTGGGGGATGTGGTGCCACTGTGTACCATTTCTAATTGACTGTGGCCATATAATTCAATTTGAAACTGGAGTAGAACTGTCAAATCAGGGGCATTAAAGGAACCCCCGATGGGTTAAACCCTTGTGCTGGCAGGACTACTGACTGAAAGGTTGGAGGTTTGAATCTAGGGAACAGGGTGAGCTCCTGTCTGTCAGCTCCAGCTTCTCATGCAGGGACATGAGAAAAGCCTCCCACAGGATGGTAGAACATCTGGGCGCCCCCCGACAACGTCCTTGCAGACGGCCCATTCTCTCACACCATAAGCGACTTGCGCTCCTGAGACGAAAAAAGTGGCATTAATTAAGACTTTGGCAATTCATTCAATACATCTCTTCTTGTTGAGACTAGCAATTGGATTTAAGATGGTGAAAACTAGTGCCTTTTTCGCAGTAAGGGTCACAGCCATGTGGTTGGGCAGCTTGATCCTAAAGGCATCTGGATGAAAGACCACCAGCAAAATCTTCAGTGTTTTCATTAATTCTAATCAGGCCCAAACCATTGGTGTTGCTAGTATGATCATAGCATTTCGTCCCACACAAAGAGATTTTCAAAGTTCGCTGTGGTTCTTATTGGCTGCCTCTCCAATTTTTGTGCTTTGAAACCAAACAAAGCAGCGACAACAAGGAATCCCCCAGGCCTGGCATCTCCAACAGTGACACGTTTCATGAGTTAGAAGCTTTCCTGATCCAGATCCAGCTCCTGCTCTGCAGGAGTATTGATTGATGTTCAGAGAACAAACCATAGGATTCCAATCTTGCTTTGCTTTGGTTACTCATTTGCTTCCAATTTAACACGATAATATTGGCCTTCAAAAACTCCTAAATGGCTTCAGCAAGTTAATTCAGACACAGCCTGCTCCAAAATGGAACGGCCTGGCCTTGGGAATTGGTGACAAGGGTTTTTTTTGGCTGCGAGATCAGACAAGTGGGCAGGAAAGAACCACCTTGGAGGTGTTACCAGTCTTCCTTTTTATTTTGTAGCATGATGAATAGTAAATGGGGAATGTTGGAGGAACGTGAGCTTTTCATTAGAGCAACCGCTGTTTTCCTGATGTGTTCCCTGGGGTTTGATCTCTGTTGCCTTTGGTTTTCCACCTGTTGTTGCTTGTTACTGCTTTTGACAGAGGCGTTAGTTTCTGTTTGGTTTTCTCATTTCTGACAAGGCGTTTTAGCTGTTGCATAGCATGGACTATACTGGCTGCAGAATGATAGGAGCTAGAGTTCACAAAGGTACCTCTTCTCCATTCTCTGATAAACTGGTACAAATCTATACCCGCCAATGTGGGGCCCATCTACACTGCCATATAAGGCAGTTTGAACTGCATTATAATGGTCATTGTAGACTCATATGATGCAGACAGAACTACATTGAACTGGATTATATGAGTCTAAACTGCCATATAATCCAGTTCAATACATTCTGAAACTGCATTAAATGGCATTGTAGATGGGGCATTAGAAGCAAGACTCAACAAATTCAGAGATTTAGGCAGAGATTTAGTGTGTATTATGGGAGTGGGGAACTTTCCCACTTATCTTGGGCCCCATCTACAGTGCCATATAATGTAGATAGAAACTGCATTATATGGTCAGTGTAGACTCATATAATGCAGTTCACTGAAGTTAAACTGCATTATATGAGTCTACAAACTTTAGTATTTCACAATATTGGCCCTCATATAATTTGGCAGGAATGAATCAATCTATTTCTTGCTCACGCCACTTCCACATATCACTAAACATATTTTCTTTCCAAATACTCATTAGCATTTTGACCCTTTCCTTTTTTCTGGAGCCGAGAGTTACACCATAACATTCCGAGAGGGGCAACATCTGACAGACAATGTAATCCCATTCAGAACGTTCCTCAGGCCAGCAGTAGTAGGAAAGCTTTATTTCAGAGTCGATTACAGTGCAATTCCCTATGCATCATTACAACTATCACTTTCCCAGTGCTGGAGCTTAGAGGATTTTTTAACACAATGTGGTGTGGGAGCCATCATCAAGCAGTGGTTTGAGTGGTTGTAATCCTGCTCTGCTGTGGAACCCTACTAAGTGACTAGGGCAAGCTATCCTCAACACCGTTTGAAGGAATTTAGCCAAGAAACCCCTATATTAGAGTTGAACCAAGGTCATCATATGTCGGAAATGACTTGAAGGCACACAACGACAGAACAAATCCATACGTAAGCAAATGAATGTCTGGGCAAAGGGTCTGCACAGAGAGAGGGGCAAGAAAGACAACAGCCATTTCACTCACCCATATGCCACTTTTTTGCTTCAGTTGTGAATCAAAGGAACTGAATGGCAGGCTGCCTTCATTAGCTTCCTAGGGAAGTATGAAGAAATATCTGTCAGATGGTAGTAGCACATGGAAGGTAAAGACACAGCTGTAGTCGGCTAACTTTGCATGCTGTCTACTAGTAAAGTGTACATTCTTTAATGCTCAAAACATAGAAAAAAACAACATTTCCCCCTCAATGAGATAGGAAGAGAAAAGGGAAAGTAGCATCCGGGTTTTTTAAATTACCTGATCACACCTCCACCCTCTATAAAACATGTTATTTGCATGTGGGGTGGAGAGAGGATTTCAAAAGCATTTGTTGCTGACTTTAATTAGCTGTCCTGCCAGTGAGAAAGAGGACAAAACCTGGACGTATTGGGAAGGTGTATAATGAGGTTAAGACAAGTCCATGCACAGACAAATGCCAAACAATTGCATGTTAAATCCAGACATGAGACTCCTCTGGGATGGGAAGATATATTTCATATTAATAGGCTTATGGCAGTGCCAGGTTTTATTCCTCTTCTTCGTTGAGGTTTGCATTTCAATGGCCTGAATAGCCTAGAGACAGCCGTAAATTATTCAAATCTTCCTGGAAATCAGCATCTGCAGATTAGCATAACCCGAAAATTACTACAGCTGTACCTGGCTTTGGCCTATTTCTGTCTAATGTCCTGATTTTAAATGCATTGTCTTGTGAGCTAAAAACAAAGAGTTCAGTACATCTCGGCAACTGTTATTCGGTCGGCGTGTCAGTTTGCAACCCAGAGAGTTCTCTTTGTTTTTTTTTTTTTAAATTGCCACTGCAATGGGGGAATTGCAGTAGCAAGAAAAACGATAAGTCCAGAGGGGCACAGACAAGAACAGGCATCCATGTCCCTTCTCCCAAGCCAGTTCTAGGTTGAAAGTTAAGGAATTTTGTGGTTGCAATCCGATACCTTTCGTCAGACCCTACACTCTAGATCACTCGTGAGCAAGAGGTTCAGGGCATGCTGTGTGATGGGAAAACATAGTTTCTTAAAACAATTGCAGACGGATACGGAAATAGGATGGGTACCTTTCACCCCATCTGAACAAGGCAATTGGGCTTTGGTTTGGTTAAGCTTGTCCCAGCCAAGTTGTTCTGAAGATTGGGATGATTTGATTAACCTGGTACCAGTTTGTGCCATTGAAAACTGACAATAACATGGGGAATTTAGGAACGGAAGGAACAAGAATGGAAGAGGATCAAATGAATTGCTGCTCCTCTTTTCCTCATTCTCCTCTTACTGGCCACTTTTCAGATAGTGGCTGGAGGAAGGGGTATCCAGCAATGCAAACATCCATATACAGTTCTCATACATACACAATTGCCCTCTGGATAGCTGACTTGACATCGCTTTCCAAACTGAGTGTTGCGACACGGTGTGTCAGCTGCAGTGTGTAGGTGTGTCACGTGAACGTAACAAGAAACGACAACTATCTTAGAAATGTATGTTATCTAAAAAAATATATATTTTAAAAATGAAAGATTTACATGAAATGTGTTGTGTCCCCATACATTTCATGATAACAGTTTATGTATGTGTCCATATCTCTTCTAAGGAATTGGTTTAACCTCCAGTTTGCCAGTAAAACTGAATTACTGTGTCACAAAACGATGCATATCTAAAATATGTCAAACGTTTGGAAAGCTTTGACATAGAGACTTAAGGAAGCAGTCCAATTCAAGCACAAACAATTCCCTTTCCCATTTCTGAACCCTGTACTCACAGGAGGTTGGAATTAGGGTTGTGCATTCAGGGTAAACCTTGATCCGTTTCGTGTCCTGGGTTTCAGTGGGCACCTGATCTGTTTTTTGGGAGCCTCCCAAAATTGAGAGGGCAGATATCTGTTTTTGCTCTTTGGTGCCAAAAGATCCATTTTCTATTGGCCCATTTGGGGGGGGGGGGAGCTTCCCACCCAGGCCCCCTTCCCGGCATGCGCTTTAAGGAGGCTTCTTCTTACCTGTTGCTGTTTCTACTCTAGAGGAGGCAGTCGGCTGTAGACACTGGCAGGTACGGGCACTTCTGGGCCTACACGCCACACACGCACTCTCTCTCCAAGGAGAATGTGTGTAGTGTGCAGGAGCGCCCGCACCTGCCAGTGCCTGCAGCCGAGTGCCTCTTACTCTAGAGTAAGAGGTGCTTGGCTGCAGGCACTGGCGGGCGGAGGCAATCATAGACCCCCCTCCACACACACACACACGCACTCTCCTTTGAAAGAGTGTGTGTGTGTGGCGCACAGGCCCAGAGCACCTGCGCCGCTAGTGCCTGCAGCCAAGCGCCTCTTACTCTGTGATGCCGAAAAGCAGGCCAGGAGTCGGGACCCATCCTGTCTGTTTTTGTGTTTTGAACAGATTTTCATACCAGGAGGGGCGTTCCTGTTCTGTGCTCCCAAAGAAACAAAAGGCACGAAAGAAGCAAAGGAAATGGGAGAAACTAATTCTGCGCACAACTCTAATTGGAATAAGTGACTCCCTTCCAAGTCTATTGTGTCGTGAAATAGGTCTTAAAATACTCTTGGATTCTAGTTTGATCAATGAAATGAAGTTGCTTCTTGGGTAAGGCAGAACACAGTGTGCCCAAAGTGTCATGTCTATTGCCCCTCTTTATTCCGCCATCTTTGCAAAGGATCTTTTCTTGTGATCGAAGGCAGATTGAGAACGTAACAGAAGATCCATAGCAGGTAATCGTGTTTTGTCATAGCATTCTTGGTTTCTTGTGCTTTTCCTTTGCCGTCCAATTTTAACATTAAGCTGTGAATGCTTGTGCTGAAATCTCATGTTCGGAATAGCAGTCATTCTGCATTATAGATCCAAGTTCCCTGCTGCCGACTACGAAGACTGTCATTTCATTTCATCTCTGGCAAACTGCAGTTTTATACCTTGAATTAGTGGTATGGCTTTTTAAAAAAGATGTCGAGATTTCTGGTGTTACAATGATTTTATATTTGCAACAAGCAAAAGGAGAAGAGGGGTTCATTTTGGTTGATGTTTATTTTTTTAACTTAAAGCCTTAACATTTTACTTCTTTGTCGGAATTAGCAATGGAGAGGGACGATGTCAAGCGACACCACCTGCTATATTTCTGCTCAGGTTTAATACCAGCATGAACTCTTGCAGGCTTCAAAAACCTGTCAGCGAAGACAAAGAGAAGGGCTTTTGCGGTGATAAGGGAGGGAAATCAGAGCATTCCTTCGGGAAGTATATTTTTTACAGGAAGGGCTGACAAAGGATCAGCAAGATTTCCAGAGGTTTCAAAGAGATTCCCAAGGCCTTTATTATTTTGTATATATAAAAATAAATTAAGTAATCTTTCTTTCAGTAGATAACCTCAAGTGTAAAACAATATAAAAACTATGCAGATGTATGCTTTAATGTCGAAAACTCAATATGCAGCAAAGTTGGCTTGCTGAGAAAGCAAACCCAATGTCATGTATATATTTGCCCAGGTTTAATGTATTCTTGGGTCTGTATGGGAGCTTCTCTACGTGAGGACCACATGCCTTTAGGGTGAACCTAAGGGTGGCTGCTACAGTATTTGGATGGGTCAACACCTGAACCTAAAGATAGAGACCGAACGGGTTGAAAGATCAGAGGCAATGTTGCTATCAAGTGCACGGTTTGAGGACCTTGTCGTGGAGGTATCTTTAACAGTCTGTAGTTCACCTGTTCCACTATCTTGAATTTTTGGAATGTATTTGTGCAGGCTTTGTGGAGCTCCATCTGTAATTCTCATTTCTGTGGCTCTCAATACATATGTATATATTTTTCAGTTTTCTGAGTGCGTGTATTTTTTTAATCAGTCCAAGTTGCAGCATTTTGGCATTTGCCTTCTGACTTGTCAAGCTAGCAATTTCTGGAAAATGGAGAGAGGCAATACTCAAGGGAGTTAATCACAGATTGGCATAGAATATAAAGAGCTGCCTCACATGGAATACTATCATAGTTCATTCAAACTCAGGAACTCAGCCCACAAGGAGGGGAAGCAGGCAGTAGTGTCTTCTTCCCGTTGGGTTCCATGGCATTCCTTCTTGAAGGAAGTCAGAGAATTTACTCACCATTGCATGTTTCTAGTTAAACTATGCACTGCTGTCTCCTCTCAGAGTGCCCACATCACAGATTTTTTTAAATTGTGCAATTGCAAAATTTCAAGGGTTTGAAATTGTGTAATTACAGCAACATTTTTAAATGAGGAAATTATTATTTACCACACCTTCCTTGTGTTTGATGAGAAATGGCAGCAGAAGGAGAATCGAACACTACTCACTGCTGCTTCCCCATACTTTTCAATTGCCTGAAAGAAAAGGACAGTGTTTCTCAACCTGTGGGTTCCCAGATGTTTTGGCCTTCAACTCCCAGAAATCCTAACAGCTGGTAAACTGGCTGGGATTTCTGGGAGTTGTGGGCCAAAACGCCTGGGGACCCACAGGTTGAGAACCACTGGAGTAGGGGAACAGACAAGATGGAGGACCAGGATCCTTCAGTATTGGCAGTGGGATGCCATGGTGATGTAGGCCTTAGCAGGCAATTGGTGGTACCAACCTCTGATGCCATCCCTGGCATTTGGAACAGTGTAGTGAAGAAACTACAGGAAATGAGGAAGAAACTGGCAGTTAATTGCATACTTGTGGGGAAATTGTGATGATGGTGATGATGAAGACACAGACTGAACATAATAATAATAATAATAATAATAATAATAATAATAATAATAATAATAATAATAATAATGTGCAAAGGACAAAGAGTGAATACCATAAAAACACAATCCAGAGCAGAAAAGAAAACTGGCGAAAGAAGGCTCTCCATGGACAGTTCCTGGGGAAAATTGAGAGCCAAATTGACAAAGAAAAAACAAATGGAACTTTGAAAAAGGAGACAGAGGGCCTGATTCTGGCAGCCCAAGAAAAAGCCATTAGAACAAATGCCATCAAAACCAGAATTGAAAAGTCAACGACAGATCCCAAATGTAGACTCTGCAAGGAAGCAAATGAAACAATAGATCACATCCTCAGCTGCTGCAAGAAGATTGCACAGACAGACTACAAGCAGAGGCATAACACGGTTGCTCAGATGATTAATTGGAAATTGTGCCACAAACCATCTGCCTGCGACAAAGAACTGGTGGGACCACAAGCCGGAAAAAGTTACAGAGAATTAACACATCAAACTACTCTGGGACTTCCGAATTCAGACAGAGTTTTGGAGCACAATACTCCTGACCTCACGATTGTGTTAAAAACAAAGTATGGATCGTTGATGTTGCAATCCCAGGTGACAGCAGGATTGAAGAGAAACAACTGGAAAAGCTGACACAATATGAAGATTTAGAGATCAAACTGCAAAGACTCTGGCACAAGCCAGTCAAGGTGGTCCCAGAGGCGATCGGCACACTGGGTGCAGTGCCTAAAGACCTTGGCCTGCACTTAAACACAATCAGCGGTGACAAAATGACCATCTGCCAGCTGCAGAAGGCCACCTTACTGGGATCTACACGCATTATTCGCCAATACATCACACAGTTCTAGACACTTGGGAAGTGTCCGACATGTGATCTAATATAACAGCCAGCAGAGTGTCTGCTGTGGACTCATCTTGTTGTGTTTCTAATAATAATAATAATAATAATAATAATAATAATAATAATAATAATAATAATAATAATTTTTGTACCCAACCTCCATCTCCCCGAAGGGACTCGGGGCGGCTTACATATGGTACAGTGTGCCTAAAACAACACATAATAATAAACACATAATACAATACAAAATAAATCCGAAGGCAAATAAAACCAAGTTTAAGCTCAAAAACAGTGCCCCATAACATATGATGAGAACTGTCATAAAACATATCCAACTGTAATAGGATATGTAATATATGTAATAGTGCAATTTTTGGCTAATGAACTAGGGCATGGGATGAAAGTGCAGTGCTGTGGCATTAACTTGCAGACCATAGAAATTAGACATTCTCAAAGGCTTGTCCAAAGAATTGTTTTTTGCCATGTCTCTCTTGAAACATCTTAGTGTCTCTGGCTGCCAAAATGTCCTGCCTACTCAGGCTGTTCATGGATCTTTCTTGGTATATCAAGGTTTTCTGTTCCAATTGAGCAACAACATCTTCCTGTGCTTTGAATACATTCTTGCATCCTTCAGCTGTCCTCCAGACCTTATATTTGGTTCAGTCCTTCCTCCTGGTTTATCCTTCAGCCCTGACCTATCGTTTGGTTGTGACCATTGGCTTTTCCACACAGCCCTTGCTGCCTGGCTCCTGGCTTACATCATTCTTTTCCTTCAACCGGCTGTTGGTGATTACAACAAAAAGCCAGCTGATGTACCCATCTACACTACCATATAATGCAGTTTATCTGCATTGAACAGTATTACATGGGTCGATACTGCCATATAATGCAGTTAAACTGCATTATGAAACTGCATTATATGGTAGTGTAGATGGGGCTTGAGAAAAGTTTCACATTGTATACTTGCTCACAGTATATTCAGGCAACGAGAAAAACTGTGATCGGCAAAGCCTGATGAGAATTCCTCTTGGCTTTGACATCTATCATATACTTGGTGATGGTCGTGGGTGGTTATTTTATAGCATCATCGTGTACAAATGAAGATGAGTACAGTCTCATCAAGCTAGCTTCTATGTTTGCTGTGAATACCTTGGTGTAGTGGGTTGAGTATCAGACTAGGACATGGGGAGATCAAGGTTTAAATCCCCATTTGACCATGAAAGCCCACTGGGTGACCTTGGGCAAGTCGCATTTTCGCTACATTAGAGGAGGGCATGGGCAAATTCTCTCTGAACAAATTCTGATAAGACTTCCTTATGGTTGATGTAAGCCAAAAATTACTTGAAGATGAACAACAACAAATAACCAGATGAGTTATTCTGGGCCACCATGACACCTATCTTCACTCTGTTGCTGCACACTAGTGAAAATCCTATTGAGGCTGCCAGGCCTCCTGAATTAATACTCCTACTATGACCCAAAAAGACATGCATTTGTATCCACTCTCCCACATGCCAACAGAAGCATGTGTCTGGAAGCAGCCCTACACACACATGGTTACGCTAACCCCTGTAGACACATTTGTCCTTCGGTGCTGTTGATGTTATGGTTAGCATCTGTCAGAAGATGTGATTTGCAAAGCAGTCAAGAAAATCATGGAATAATGGAGCAAGAGGAAGATTAGGAAGCAACAACAACAACAACAACAACATCATCAACAACAACGCTTTGTTTATAACCTGCCCTACCTCCCCGAAGGGACTAATGGTTAATACCCAGCTTGAAGAACAGACATCCAGTAAAACAGAGCTCCAAAGTTACTTTCTATCACCAGCCTGCTGTTATTTATAAATATTCCAATCTGGGTTTAGTCTATAAATAGAGGGGTAATGTATTTCTCCCATGAGAATATGAATATGATACTATTCTCCGTGTTTAATTATGGTCATGGAATTGGACAGCAAACAGAAAAGGCAGACATAAATCTGTTTTTGTGTAGGAGATAGATCAAGAAATTATAGGTTGTGCAAAAATATTACACACTGACTAAACCAAACTCTATCATGCCTAGTTTAATACTCATAATTGCCTAGTGAATTGTTGCCCATTGCCTTCCTTTGTGTACATCCTCTAAAAATATGTTTCTCCCTGAAGAAATGGCATTCAGCACAATATGGTATATTGGCTGGATGGCAATGTGGTTAAAAATATTGAAATATTGGGACAGGGGCAGCCATGAATTGCAAGGAGTGTAAATGATTTCACACATCCGATTAATCTATTTTTAACTAGGACTCCCAATTATACACTGTCTGCTTCTGTGAAATGGAGTGACGCACCACTCACATTGCAATATTAGCATGCATACAATTTATTCATGGTAAAGCCTTTACTATTGGAAGGTGCCCAGTGATAAAAGGCTCAAATGGGTTGGTGTGTGGAATTATTTTAGAGTGTTGCAGAAAAGCTGAATATGTCTCCTACAAATGCCCCCCCCCCCTCCGTTCCAGATACGCATGGCATCTGATTACATATAAAACTGGCACAGCTTCAGAAGTACGGAGATTAGGTTGCCCTTCTGCTGGAGTGATAAAAAAAATGAGTCGATTCTTTACCCTGTAATTCAAAGCTTTTAGACATGGTTTGACATTTTCTCAAACCTCTTGCAATGGTTTCGATGCTTTTAATGTCCATGAATTTGCAATGTAATTCATCACTCTCGGGCCCCATAAGGCTTCAAGATTGTAACAACCCATCACATCCCTTGAAATAAAGCAATTTAAAGTGATTGCGGATAGTGAGATCCGGGCCGCAGATAGTGAAACCCGAAGCGAGGATACTACGTCTTGATAAGCTGATACCGGCAGCGGGCTGCTTGTAGATCCATGCACCTGGCCAGATGAAGAAGCTACCCAATATTCCCAAATCGAGAAATCTCACCAAGTTGAAGAAGAAGCCACCAAGGTATTTTATTCAAGTCAGCTGAAATGGATGCCAGCTTGTGGTAAGCTGCTAAAGTAAGCAGAGATACCGTATATAGTAAAAACATGCAATTATATACAGTCCAGTTCTTTGTATTTCCCACTCCTGCTCCAGTTGGAGCCAGCTCCGCCATGATTGGCTGGACCAGGCTGAAGTCACGGCCAGCTGGGACGATTCTCCCTGGAAGGCGGTACTGTGGCACCAACCAGCCAATCGGAGAGTGTTTCCCGCTTCCAATGCAGATCTCTGCTTTCCAATGGCTGACAGGG